CGCGGACCGCCCCTGCACCAATTCGGAACAAGGGTTTGCGATGGGTTTGCAAACTAATGTTCTCGATAATTACCAATACTATTCTATGGGTTCCTTATTAGAATTATAGTATGATGGGCCCCAAAACCCTAGTCTAATTCTTAAGGCCCCTTATATTAGTCTTTCAAGGAGGTGTCAGGCTTGGGGCCTCGAAGTTGGGTCGGGTCTAAGGTCTAGCTTGTCAGGCACTGTATCTAAACATAATGTAGGGGCCTGAGTAATTCGAACAGGGTTTTGGGGTATATCATACTATAGCTGTAAGAAGAAACCACGAAAATAGTGTGGTAATTACTTGGGCTATTATCTATATATCTATATATATATATATAGACTGTTACGGAGTGTGTCACCAGCGTCACCACAGTGGTGAACACAGTCCAGTACCACTTCATCCTGGAATATACCTTGCATGGCAAGAATGCCTACGACTTGCCCGGAGAATCCAAAGCCCCTCTGTTTGTGCGGGGATAGTATAGAAGCCCCTCTGTAAATCCAAACGTGGAACCCGTTTCAGACAGATGGGTTTGGGTTCCCAACTCAGACCCTCGAAAGTAAAACCTTGGTTGGGCAACCTAATTTATAGTTAGGAAATGGTCAGACCGATGATCAGAAACTCAGATAACCACAGCAAGCACTACCTTAGCCGGTCTAGGCGCAGGCATCATCCCTAAACCCTAAACCCTAAACATGTCTTGGGAGGGGTGCTCTGGCTGGCAGCCAGGCGCTCCTCGATCTTGTCCAGCAGGATGATCGCGAAGGCTGGGCAGGAGGCCGTATTAATTGGGTTTAGGGATAGGGTTTAGGGTTTAGGGGTTTAGGGTTTAGGGTTTAGGGTTTAGATGGGTGATGTAGAGACCAGTATTCGGTTGATGATATAAATCCTGCATTACCCAGAATCAGGAATATACCAGAACTCCCATAGTTTAGGGTCCGTAAGGTAAGGCAGGATTTATATCATCAACAGTATCTTCAACAGTATGTCACAGGAAACCCTAAACCCCTAAACCCTAAACCCTAAACCCTAAACCCTAAACCCTAAACCCTAGAACTGAGCCTGTAGCCTCCGGTCTGACAGCAGGCCGGTGAACATCCCCACGGGCTTGGAGGTTCCTTAGGGTTTAGGGTTTAGGGTTTAGGGTTTAGGGTTTAGGGCTTCTTGTAGCCATGGTATAATATACCCCCAAGACCCTAGTCTATTTACTAGGCCCCGATATTCGGCCCTAAACTCTAAACCCTAAATTCTAAACCCCAAGCTGTATACTCCAAACTCAAAACTTTAGACCCCAGAGCCGGTCGGAGACACTTCCCGGCTTTCTCCTTTCTGCAGGATGAGGCTGAGGCTGAAAGCCCACTTTCTGCGTCATCTGCTGCTGCGTGTGGATGTGGGTAGTTTTCTAAATTAGGGTCCCTTTTTAGGTCCCCAATATAGTACGGCACCCTTTTAAAAAAGGACTCCAAAAGGGAGCCTAATTTAGAGAACTACCCATGTGGACTCTGGGATCTTTCTTCTCGTCCTTCTGCTTCAAGTCCGGGACCATGCTGCACATGCACATGTCCATGGAGCCAAGTGCCTTTACCAGGGCGGGCTCTTGCAAAACAAACCCTGCCGAGACACACAAACATCAAGTCATCGGCCTGCTTCTCCTTCTGGAAGTTCTCACCGAGTTTGCGGCAATCCGGCAACTGTCACGTTTTGGTCCAAAAAAGCGGATTTCACAAGACCATGCCGAACACAAGCTACAGGCTGAGAAGTGCGACCCTTGAGATCCATCCCCAAAGCCTCCCACAGCTCCGGGGGCGAGCAGTGTGCTCGCGCGAATGGCTTCGTCTCTTTCAGGTGGCTTGCCGTAGGCCGTAGTAGCAGGTCAGCTGCGGTGACGCATGCGCTATTTCGCGGGACATCTCTTCGGAAGCAATGCAGTGAGTATGTGCGTAGGGGCGTCGATCGTGTCCGGGGGTTGGCGGTGCATTGCTGATGCATGCCAAGCGGACAGCCACCTCGAAGCCCGAGGATTTCGGGGAGTGTAATCCAATTTGGGAGGAACTTCCTGGAATGTCCACCAAAAGATAGTATGTTTCTGAGTCTGCCAAAGTTTACCGCCTGCCGGCGATCGACAGATGTTACCGCGACTCGGCACGCCATCGCCTACGCCGTCATCCTTAGTTCCATACTCTTGCTGCTCGATTCTTGGATCCCCGAAGAATATTTAAGCGTTTAGGGCTTCGCCCCAGAAGTCACTTGTGTAAGGGCCGAATGGAGCAGTATCTGTCAAAAAATACAAGAAAAACCGACCCTAAACCCCGAACCCTAAACAATGCTAGGTTCTCTTGGCTATTGAGCTTGGATGCGGCGTTCAGAGCCGCTATGAAACAAAACCCCAAACTACCTAACCGTCCACCTAAGATCCCGGCATAGCCAGCAATATAGAGCCCTATAAGAATGGCCGGGCTCGTGGTAGCTAGAGTTCACTGGGAGGGCTTGAGTTCCCAGGCACGAACTCTTAATCCCTAAATTACTAAACCCTAAACCCTATAAACCCTGAACCCTGAACCCTAAACCCTATAAACCCTAAACCCTAACCCCGAACCCTATTAAACCTTGAACCCCAAACCCTATAACCCCGAACCCTGAAACCCGAAAACCCTAAACCCTAAACCCTATAAACCCTAAACCCTAACCCCGAACCCTATTAAACCTTGAACCCCAAACCCTATAACCCTGAACCCTATAAACCCTATACCTTAAGAACCCAAAACCTACATTTTTGTAGGGTCCCTATAAATCCCATATTGGGTTTATAATAAGAACCTACAAAAAAGTGGGTTTTGGGTTCTTAAGGTAAACCCTAAACCCCAAACCCCAATCCCTAAACCCAAAGCCCTGGGGCGATGACCTGCCAAGGCCGAGAGGAACAGGGCGAGAAGAAGGCGTCCTGGAAAGGGGCAGCGTAGGGTTTAGGGTTTAGGGTTTAGGGTTTAGGGTTTAGGGTCGTAGGGTTTAGAGTTGTTGGTTCAGGGTTTAGGGTTTAGCGTGTACGGCCTTTGGGGTTTAGAGTTGTTGGTTCAAGGTTTAGAGCTTAGGGATCAGGGTTTAGAGTTGTTGGTTGAGAGTTTAGGGATCAGGGCTTAGGGTTTTGGGTAGGATTTAGAGTTTAGAGTTGTTGGTTCAAGGTTTAGAGCTTCGGGATCAGGGTTTAGAGCTGTTGGGGTTCAGGGTTTGCGGACTTTAGGGTTTACGGTTTAGGGTTCCGGGTTCAGGCTTTGGGGCCAACGACTCCAAGATCATCCTGGTGCAGTTTGTGCACCAGGATTTGGGGCTTCTTACGACGGTTGAGGGTTTAGTATAGGGGCCTTAATAATTAGAATGGGGCTTTGGGGCCCGTTAGATTAGAGTTATAATAAGGAGTTCCCAAAATAGTAAAGGTAATTATTTAGGCTCTCATGTTAGGGTTTAGGGGTCATAAGGGTTCCATTGTGCTTATAGCAAGGGCTGTATGGCGTAGACTGTACGGATGATCACACGAGTACTGCACCTCATAACTGGGACACGAGTGGCTCAGAGTTCTGGGTGGAAGCCGCATCTGTCAGGTACTGTTGATGATAGAAATCCTGCATTACCCATACTAAGGAATATACCATCAGTCCCATAGCTTAGAGTCGTTAAGGTAATGCAGGATATCTATCTATATCTATCTATCTATCTATCTATCTATCTATCTATCTATGTATATATATGTATATGTATGTATATATATGTATATGTATATATATATATATATATATCATTCTCATCATCAAGAGTATCACTGTAGTATAAGAGCCTGACGAATGACAAATAGTGTTCGTTCGAGTTCTCTGCTGGAAAGCATAGCATAACTTACCCACCACAAGAAGAAAACGTCATCTAATGAGAAAGGGTGCCTTCAATAGTAGCCGGGGACACGCCGTGCTTCACCAGCATGTCCCAGGACCTTAGCAGTCTTGCGTGTAGGGTGGAGGGATAGGGTTTGAGGTTTAGGGTTTAGGGTTTAGGGTTTAGTGTTTAGGGTTTAGGGTGCAGGGATAGGATAGGGTTTGAGGTTGAGGGTTCAGCGATTACCTGGACACCAAATAACGTGCATGAAGAAATCATCATAAGGAACTCGAAAAAGGAAGGTTTTGCAGGGTCCAGGTTAGGGCTTATGGAGTAGGGTTGAAGGTTGCGGGATTCGGGGGTTTACTGCGGGGGCCATAAGAATTGGCATAGGGTTTTGGGGGCCCATTATACTATAGTTATAATCAAGAGCCCTCAAAATAGCATGGGTAATTATTCAGGTCCCTTTATTAGAGGTCCAGAGTCTGGTAAGTTTAGGGGTCGCAAAACTGCCATGATGCAATGCGGTCCATGTATTTCATTCTTCCGGCTCGTCCTGATAGCACATCCGTGGAGGAATCACGAAACAAGCATACTCGTCATGCCATCGGAATACTCTGCCCCCTAAACCCTAAACCCCTCCACCGGAACCACCAGGCTCGGCCAGGATGTGGAGGACCAACGATGTAGGTGCTGTGCATTTGCGTCACATGCCCCGTCCGAAACCATCAGCTAACCCTAAGGGTCCATGTATCTCTATGAGCATCCTTTGAGCCTAAAGTACATATATAGGGACTACTTTTAAGGCCTACGTATATGCTATATGAGTACATGGACCCTTAGGCTAACTAACAACACCACAACACAACAGCAATGAAATCCGACAACATAATTTGACGAATCCTACAAGTAACGGTCAGCTGACAAAGCCTCTCTGATGCGACCTAAGCCTGGCGACGATCGAAGAGCGAACACAGGCAAGGGACAAGCACACGAACCGTTCACTCAAAATCCAAAACCAAGGTTTCGAACAACCCTGTCGATGCATGCTGATACTTTCAATGCATGAAATGAAACATTTGAGATTTAACCCTGCTGGGCAGCAAGCTCGAACATCCACCTCGAGGCGAAAAGAAGGCACCAAGCAAACGCCATTGAGCAGGTACCTTCGGGTTTAATGTAGGGGCCTTGAGAATTAGAATGGGCTTTGGGGCTCCTTATTACAATTATAGTATCATATATCCCAAACCTTCTTAAAACTATAAAAGCCCCTATATTAGGATTCCAGCTTTGACTTGGAGATTGGTGGGGTGACGCTTGGAGGGAACCACAGGGACGATGAATGGGTATGAACATGTACCGGAAGACGAATAAGAATGTCGAGTTTGAATATGATGGATATGACTTCGAGTATACCTATGATGAGGAGAATGAGCATGAGTACGAGCATGAGTCTTATATCAAAAAACGACCATGGCTGTACCAGGTTATGCATGGCTGTACCAGGTTATGTCTAAAAAAGAACACAGCGAGATACCCTGAACCCTAAATTCCCAAACCCTTACCCTAACCCTGGGCCCGCACCCTATGGAACAAAACCCGGATCAAACTCAGAAACCCAAAACCCTCAGCCCTAAACCCTAAACCCCCGAAAACCCTAGATCCCTAACACCAGTATGAAGGTCACCTCGAACCAGATCTGCCAAACGCCTGGTGTGGCCGGAGAGGGCCACGGCCAAGGTGACGACCTACAGCTTCTTGTTTGGCATCTGCTATAAGGGCTTGCCTCAACCCTGAAGAACCCACAGACTCCAATATCCCCTAATTCAGGAATATACCTTAAATTATGGTAGGATCCCTAGTATGATTTAAGAAATATTCCTGAATTAAGGGATATTGGAGCCTCTGGGCATCTACCTTTTTGCGGCTTATATACAGAAATCATAAGAAACAAAACCCCTAAAAAGGTAGGTTCTTTAGGGTTCAGGTAGGGTTTCGGATCGAGCTCCGTTGAAGCTAGGGGTCTGTAGGGGTACTAGAAGAGCCTTGAGGTTTTAGACTGGGAGGGGTTAGGGTTTAGGGTATAGGGTTTAGGGTTTAGGGTTCAAGGGTTCAGGGGTTTAGGGGTTTAGGGGTTTTGGGGTTTTGGGTTTAGGGTTGAGTAGTAGATTGTGGGGTTTTACGAGGGTTCTGCACAGGATTGGCTACTGGGACTATTCGGAGGAAGGCTCCGGAGGAGCATGAGCAACCAACTCTAGGCGAATGACTTTAGAAAAGCTCTTCAACAATGCCCTAAACCCTAAAGTACAATTACTAAGCGGTGCTAAACGCAAAGCTCTGAGCCCCCAAACCACAAACCCTAAGCCCGCATGAAGCTTTTGCAGCATCATGCAAACATGCCAGAGTCGCCACCATGATCATTGCGAGACCGTAGACGGATGCAATCTCCCAAAGCCCAAAGTCCTGTGAGCTGGGTTTAGGGGTTTGGGGTTTAGAGTTTAGGGTTATGTAGGGTTCAGGATTTTAGGGTTTAGGGTTTTGGGGTTCTTGGCATGGGCCTTGAGACTTGGGAGAGAATACGGCCAGACGCAGAAATACGCTAAACATCAAAGCAGTGGATTCGATTTCATTGATTGGCTGTGCCGGTTACACCAAGATCCCAAACGCCCAAGACCCTGCACCCTCACGGGAGCATGGCGAGGTATGAGGGCAGGACCAAACATGGAGACTGGCAAGCTACCGCAGCTAAGAACGGCTGTGTTGGTATAGTGGCTCAGTCCCCTTACATGGTTTGGAGGTAATTCGTTCCTAGGGGTGATTGGCTGGTACGGCTGATGGAAAAACCCGCGCCACCTTATGTATCCAGAAACCATTGGGACATGAAATGTTCGAAACTCCTACTATGGTGGACTTCTTGTCTATCTGCAGTGTCTGCAGTGAATCCACAGCCGTGACATCGCAGAACTGAACCGCAAACTTCACATCGCATCCCCCATGCCTGCGATACGCGAAGTCCGAGTATAAAAGGATATAAGGCCACCAGGTCAGGGCCGACAGGGCTTGTTCTGAACCCCATGCAAACCCCCAGGAGCTACATGCGTAATCGAAGCCGTAAGCCCTACATTCGCAAAACCTACAAACCGAAGTCGAATTGCCCATGTACATCCACGCTATTGGAGCCTCGCCAGGCTCAGCGCCGCTCCTTACACGCCCGTGGCTTCAGGTCTTGAAATTAGGCTTGGTTGACGGTGAAGTGTAGGGTGCTGTAGCGTTTAGGGTTCAGTGGTTCGGATTTAGAGTTTAGGCTGCTCTATGCTTGTTTGGTTGTTGCCGTCGTTGCAGTTCCGTCTCTCGCCACGACTCTGTTTGAAGTGTATGCCCCACAACCCAAACCCTAAAAATCCAAAACCACCAAAAGCCTCACTGTAGGGTTTTGGGAGTGTATAGGGGAGAGGGTTTGGTGCACCTGGTTTGCAGACATCGCTCAGGGATTCAGGTCCTTTGGGGTCTAGTAACGCGTTTGGGGCAAGTTTAACAATTACGGTCTCTCTGAAAAGAACATTAGCGTGTTTCGGGGTTTCGGCCCTTTCCAATCCAAGACTCTGGCGGCACTACAATGTCCGTGTTTCTTTGACATCTAGACCAGGACTTCATCCCCGAACACATGCACGCAAACACTTGCTCTGCGAAACCTGCTGGAATACATAGCCCGCCCATGACTCTGCCTCTGGAAGTACTGATCTTTGGACGTGCTGCTTGGGGCTGCATGGGTTCAGGCTATAATAAAGAGGCAGTAATGAGTAGAATAAAGTTTCTGGGGTATCGTTCATAGGAAAGCCACATACCTGTCTTGGAAAGCCTTCCGACGCTGCGACGCTTATATTCGGCTGTGGATAGGGGAGTTGAGGGTTTCGAGATGTTTCGGGTTAAAGGGTCCGGGCACAGGTTTTGAATAGGGTTCTCCAAGGTTGAGGGTGCTTTTGGCCCAGAATCGCGAACCCTGAAACGAAGCCCAAAGCTCCCCGGCCCCAAACCCTGAATGACAACCCTTGGCCTTGATAAACTGGGTTGTAGTTTCGGGGCCCTTAACAGTATTTATGAATAGGTACCTCTAAGAGAACTATAAGGGAAATTTAAGAAAGTGAAGTATTTATGAAAAGGTACCTCTATAAGAACCCTAATGGAAATTTCTAAAGTTTCCCGAAGTGCCACCGGCAGTGCCACCTAGTAAAGCTCTGCTGAGGAGAAGGCTTGGTGGACAGCACGCCGGTAACGGCATAGCGGACTGCCTTGTCAGTTCCGTAAGCTTGGACTTAATAACCATCTACTCTCCTAAATATTACCCTAGAAAACTACTATCCGCAACCAAAGTACCTATTATTAGGTCCTTTAGCCCCTTAGAAGCTCTGATGTAGGGTTCCAAGATTGGGGTGTTTGGTGCTTGTGGCCTTGGCAGAGAACTTGTTTTACAAAACCCTAAACCCCAAACCAAACCCTACTGTAGCCCTAAGGGTCCAAAGGAGCCAATAATCAGATACTTTGGTTGCGGACAGTAGCTATCTAGGCTAATGCTTGGGAGAGTATATGATTATTAGGTACTTGGACCCTTAGGGCAGGTTTCTCTGTTGCTTCCACGCTGCTTCGCAGCCGCGTCCACTGCAGAACTAGGCCACACCACCCCATTAACGACTGAACCCTGAACAGCATGCCTGGGTCGCTAAAGCCCGGAATCGGACCCCTCACAGTCTCTGAACCTTAACCCATACTCCTAAACCCAAAACCCTAAACCCCATACTCCGTATGCCCCATGGTTTGACATTCAGGAAATGCAGGGGCCCTTCTCGTCCAAAGGCACCCAGACAGCCCAAAGCCCCTTATTATTTACGGAAAATGACTGAGAGTATGTAGGGCTTCGGATGGCAATCTACAGTAGATTCCAAAAATAAGTGGTATTGTGCTCTCGGGGCACGAACTCACATTTTCGAGTTTGGGAGTCGCGGGCTTCTGGGGCGAAGGGCGTAGATTCTGAGTGTAGGATGGATGCAACCCTACGAACCCTCATGGTCCTTCAACGCATCTCTTGTTTGCACCAACTTAAAAAGGCTATAATATACCCCTGAGCCCCCAAACCCTAAACCGTAAGCAATGAGCCCTCATATTGAACCATGAGAAAAACCCCCTCCATTCCCCTCCTGCCTGCACTAAGAGGAAGGAGATCGATAGGTTGAAGAGCTCATCCTCGCAGGGTGATCCCCAAAAACCCTAAACCCTAAACCCTAAACCCTAAACCCTAAACCCTAAACCCTAAACCCTAAACCCTAAACCGTGCTGGGTGGGGGTTGGGCCTTAACATCTCCCAACGCTTTGGGTTTAAACCCTAAACCAGAGATGGCTTACCCTTAGCATCAAAATAGCCCAAAAGCCTTATATAGTAGGGTCTTTGGGTCCAAAAAACTTAAACTATGAGTCCTTTGAATATAAGGGTTAGGGTTTAGGTCCTAGGGGGTCGGGCCTTAACCCTGAGGCTCCAAAGCAAGCCCAGGATTTTGCGTAGAATGGCCTTCAAGCCCAACAGCCGCAAAGCTAGCGTCGTTCAACCTCTAATCACTTCCCCGATGTATTAAACACCCCCAATAACAAACACACTTGTCGGAAACCCATCCCCGCTGTTTTGAAACCAAACGCGGATTTGGGGTTTCAGGAGCAAGAGCAACAGCAAGAGCAGGAGCAAGACCCCTCCAAAAGTGACAGTAGAGATAAAAACACGATTTTCCGTGGCTGTGCTTTTATTTTGAGGGGGGGTGCGTTTAATGTTAGGGGCAGTGATTATAGGGTGCCAACTGATAGAGAGGGTGTCGGTGTTCGGGTTTAGGGTATAGGCCGAAGTGTGAAGACCCTTCACAGAGGACTTCGTGTGTGAAGGAGATGCGAGCTTTCACACCAACAAAACAGGCTATGCTGACCAAAGCCTAATTAGCATTGATATCAAGACAAGGAAATGGGGATGGAGGACGGAGGCTGACACATGCTAACAAAATTGTACCGATTAGTATAATGTAGGGGCCTTAGTAATTAAAATAGGGTTTTGCGGTCCTTTATGGTATAATCATAGTAAGGAACATTAAGGAACACTGTTGGTAATTATGTAGGCTTCTGAATTATACCATATGACAGCCACTCTCACACTCCCCCCCTTCACAACAAGGACCCCAGCAGTTTCAATCTCCCAGATAGACCCGATATAGAAGCACGACAACCTTGGAACGTTCTCGTGCCCACCGGCGCATGGATGTACATCTGTATACTGTATGTATGCATGTATGTATGTATGTATGTATGTCCTATGTACGTGTACTATGTATGTATGTATATATATATATACGTATATATATATATAGAGAGAGAGAGAGAAAGAGAGAAACCTTCAGCTAGCTGTCATTGCTCATTGCCTGTATGTATTTGTCTCCAAAAGCCTGGAAGCAATGAGAGCGTGTCCCTCTGGCCCGAAGCCGTGCTGAAGCCGGCTTCGAAGCTCATGACAGGCAAAGTTGCCCACAGCTTTGAAATCCCCGTAAAAAAAAACCCCTTTCAGCCCCCGTGACGCTCCAGAGGCCGATCTATCGATCTGTCTATCTACCTTGACTGTATCTCTCTCTCTCTCTCTCTCTTACTCTCTTACTCTCTCTCTCTCTCTCTCTCTCTCTCTCTCTCGCTCTCGCTCTGTATATATGCATGTGTATGTATATATATATATATATGTTGCAAATGCACTGGAGCAAATCGCATTGGCTATTTTCCGCATGCTTGAGCCAATCGGCGTTTGGTGTGCGGTTCGGTGTCAACACTGTACACGGAGAGTCATGACTGCAACACCCTTCAGGCGCTGTCTTCACACTCCTAAGTTTTCTTTGGCACCGAACCCATTTCTGTCCACTATCTTGACGAAGCTAACGTTGACGGCTCCGGTAGCCATCAACTCGTCGATCTGCGGGCTCTTCATCCGCTTCGTCAGGCCGTCCGCAACCATAGTGGAAGTGTCGATCCACTGCACCGTTGTTGTAGCCGAGGATGGCGGGATGTCCGCCAACATAGGGTCGCCCACATCTTCTCCAGGTAGGCGCCATACGAGCTGTCTCAGGGCGCTCAGGTCTATCGCGAGACGTTTGTCTCCGACAGTGTGCAAACCAGGCTGGCGTAGGTGCTGCTCCAGGCTCTTACAGTCCGTCATCATCACGATCTTGTAGCGGTCCATGGCCTTGATGAGGTCGTGCTTGTCCTCCTCGTAGTTCATGCCATAGAGCACTGAGCGAACATGTTCCGCACCTTCGTAGCCTGACACCATGCTCAACGTCTCAGCTTGGAGCGTGGAGCGGCAAACTCTTCGTATCACCGAGCTGTGGTACTCCAGGATGTGCACATTGCCGGCTCCCTTAGTCTCCAGAGCGCTAGGGCCCAGTAGTAGTAGTCGGCCCGACTGTGACCGGTTTCCCAGTGGGTCTCCCTTCTTGGCGATGTCGTAGTCGGCACCGTGGCTGGCGTCGGTGATGCTGTAGATCGTCATGTCGTTGATGTCGAAGGCCTCATACTGAAAGTGCATCCCCTTGTTGGGCGTCTT